TTTAACATTTGGCCCCCCCAAATACTGATGATTTTCGTTTCGCCCCCCCAGTGACTTTCGTCTAGCTCCGCCACTGCCTCCACATACGCGAGTCCATCTCCAAGCACGCAAATCCATGCTAGGATAGGGCCGCACCACCGCGGTCGCCCACCACCCACAAGCGCCACCCAACTCTAAGGTTCCCAAAGCGGCACCTTCAAGAAAGGAACGATGCCGTAAGCGCCGCCGCTCATGACATAATTTGCTGAATTAATTCCCTATATATTTTTTGCTAACACTCCTGTAGGTTGTGATTGGACCAACTACGGCAGCGTACGCGCATTAGCCAATTTGCTTCTTTTTTTTGTGAGGGAAATCCAAGTGCATTTAATGTACTCAAGTTTTAGTCGCTGCGTACATAAATAAGTGTATACCGTGTCCGTCAGCAGGATTATCCTTTTCATATTTGCAGCGCCGATCTACCCGTCGACCGTTTCTCTGAAATTTGCATCGCTAGAAATTGACTAGACATTAACGCTCGTTGTTACCAAAGTCATCTTCGCTCATCTGAGCTCGGGACGGACAGTAAAATCCAAAAAAGTAAAAAAACATTCAGAAAAATCTGAATTTTTTCGGTGCAAACATTGACAAAAAATTTACGTGCTCACAAAATTTCATGTTGAAAAGACATTTGTGAAAGTCGTGGCAAAAAAACAAAATCAACACTCCAAAATACTTTTGAAAATAACATTTTTGAAGAATCCATTTTGTTTTTTGCCATGACTTAAGAAAAATATGATTTCAAGATGACATTTTGTGAGCACGTAAACATTTTGTTAATGTCTGAATCAAAAATTAGTTTTTCTTTAATTAGTTTTTATTTTTTTGGATTTTATTGTTCATCCAAGCTGGTTTGAGTTCGGGCTCAGAAACTCCGCATCCTCGTTGTTACTGGTATCTTTCATGGCAACTGTAGAAACGAATCATTGGCGGCTCTTTTTCTTGGTCAGACATAAAAACAGCAGGAAACTGACGTGTACTAGAACGTGCTACTCCCTCCATTTCACAATATAGTGCTTGCTCTATCCCTGTGCTTCAATTTTGACCGTAAATTTAATTATCAAGACCGATTGTGGCGGGAGCAAAAATTATATCAGTGAATTCGTATTCGAAAGAAGATTTTAATTATGTAACTTTTTCTCCCGCCACAGTCGGCCTTATTTGTTAAATTTATGATTAAAATTCAACCTCAGAAAGCGCGAACGCACTATATTTTAAAATGGAGGAAGTACTATGTAGAGTCATCATATCATCACTTCTAACCACCTAACTAGCTCTGCCGTTGAATTTTTTTGGCGTGTATATAATCACTGCTCCCTCCGATGTGAATTAATTGCCGCAACATGTATACAAGGATCTGTGAATTAATTGCCGCAACATGTATACAAGGATCTGTGAATTAATTGCCGCAACATGTATACAAGGATCTGAGCGAGTAACACCTATCGGTATTTTTATTAAAGAAGGAAGAACTCCGGTTTCTGCATCTGGATGATGTATACATCCACTTTATTAATTATCCACAAAAGATCTTATAAAGTAATACAACAGTAAGACTGAATGCACCGTCTGCGCAATATCTGTCGCTACTCCTATCCAGTTGATAAAGGGTTCCTAATAGTCTGGGCCTAATACCAAACAGACATTGCAGCCAAATCTAACATCTAAAACCTGAGGCCCTAACCAAGCCACCTGCCGGGTATGGGGCACCCACCGGTCCGTCGCATACTCAGAGGCCACCGCCGCCAACTACCACCAATCCATCTTCAGAACTGTAGTGATGCATCTATCTTGTCCGGTCTAGTTGCCGGCGACGCCACCACGACGACAGACAGCGTCACCCTCCTGCGCGAGTCCGTCTTCGCACATCAGATGCCTAATCTCCAGGGCACCACGCCATCGAGATCCGTCGTCATCAATGTTTAGGATAAAGCACCTCTTCACCGAATATGTCGTCCACTGGTCCCTCGAGCCTGTATACACCTCCAAGAATGAGCCTCCAAGGAGGGTCCTATCGGTATGTGTCTATGTTCGTGTGTCGTTTGCGAAATAGAATTAGCTAGTGAAGTACTCTCTCCATATCAAAATATAAGACGTTTGAACTGCACAAACGATTTATATTTTCATACATAGGTAGTAATACGAAAATATATTTTAGAGCACCTGCACCCAGGCTCCTCTTATCTAGCCATCCATTCTTCGCATCAAGATCCATGCAAATACATTTATCTTTTTTATTTCTCTTACATAAAACATGTCTTCAAGTTGAAACCTTTGCAGAACAGTAAAGCTTTCTAGCTAGAATCTAGGATAAAAAATTAGATTTTTTTGTCCAACATAAATATACAAAATAAGTTCTTATTTGATTAAAAAATACTTCTTTTACTATTTATGTTGGACGAAAAATTCTGAAAGTTTTATCTCACATTCTAGTTAGTAAGTTTTGTTGCGCTGCAAAGTTTGAAGTTCAAAACATGTTCTATATGAAAGAAACGAAAAAGAGAAAATTTCATATACGAAGTTAGTTGTCTTGCATAGATTTTAAAACGATATTGGAGAGTCAGGATAGCAGGGCCTGGGTGCAAGTGCTCTGAAAATCTGCGTCTGGTAGTAATACTAAAAAAAAGGAAAGAATTAGTAGCACTGAAATACTTGTTTGAGAAAAAAAAGAGGACTGCACCATTAGCAGATTAACACTACGTTATTGCACAGGGGTTATCTAGAAGTAGTACTATCATTAGCAACCAACGATTAAAATCACGGAAGATAAAGGATTTATCGGCAGCCCTACATTAATTGGCACGAACCTTTAGGCTAATATTGCGCTATCTTCAGCGATTTCGGCGCTATCTCTGGCGGTTCACAACAGCACTCAAATTGCGGGGCGGTTTTCGAACGGAAATATCGCCCCGATTGCGTCAATTTGATCCGCAATTTAATATTATGTTATTAACCTATTAACACTTCATATGACAATAGTTATCCAGGATGCTATAATGAGCGACTCATTAGGACATGCCTTGCAATTACTAGTACAAAGCATTAAAAAGAATCAATAGCCATTAATTAGTACCTAAAGTATGGAGTGCAGTAAATAAGTGAGGCTTCCCTCGCACAGCATTGCGGATGCTATATAAACCAGACCCACCCCGCCGCTCTTCTAAACCCAAAAACGTTCAGTCAAAACACCTCTTCACATCTCCCCAGCCTCTGGTTTTTCCACAACGTAGCAAAGGTAAGCTGGTAGATCCGTGAGGCCGCAGCGATGTCGGACGTGACGGCGGTGATGCATCTGCGGGGGGAGGAGCCGTGGCTGGCGCTTCCTCCAGGGTTCCGGTTCCACCCCACCGACGAGGAGGTGGTCACGCACTACCTCACCCCCAAGATCCGCAACCCCGACTTCTCCTGCCTCATGGTCGCCTACGTCAACCTCAACAACACCGAGCCGTGGGATCTCCCGAGTAAGTGTAGTACTACTTGTCAATAATTTGCAGGCATGAGGCAGAGCGCTCATGGCCAGTTTGTTCTGCAGAAAAGGCGAAGATGGGCGCGGGCGAGACGGAGTGGTTCTTTTTTGTGCACAAGGATCGGAAGTACCCGACGGGGACGCGCACCAACCGGGCGACGAAGAGCGGCTACTGGAAGGCGACGGGTAAGGACAAGGAGATCTTCCGCGGCACAGGACTGGACGCCGTCCTCGTCGGCATGAAGAAGACGCTCGTCTTCTACCGCGGCCGCGCCCCCGGCGGCCAAAAGACGTCGTGGGTGATGCACGAGTACCGCCTCGAGGGCGAGCTGCCCCATCGCCTACCCCGCTCCGCCAAGGTACGCAAGAATCTATTTTGTTTTTCCGTCTCTGTCTCCAGACAAGTCGATCGATTCAACCGCTAGAGCATCTAGAGATGTTGCTGGACCACGCGCTCACATCACATGTCATGCTCGGGATTTGTTTCTTATTTCTTATTCTCCTCGTGTTGCTTTCTCAACCTGTCCGTTGCGTGCGTGCAGGACGATTGGGCTGTTTGCCGGCTGTTCAACAAAGAATTGGCCGCGCAGAATGCACCCCAGATGGCGCCGGCGGCCGACGCGGACATGGAGGAGGAGGACCCGTTCGCCTTCCTCGATGAGTTGCTCAACAGTGATGACTTGCTCAACAACGCTGGCCTGCTCGGCAATGCCGACCCGCCGATGCTCATGGACTATCCGTCAGGCGCCATAGACTTCGCCGGCGCTTCCAGCTCCACCTCCAGCGCGGCCCTGCCGGTTGAGCTGGACATGGAGCATCGGACCCGCAAGATGGAGCCACCGGCGCCGCAGCAGCAGAGCCCAAACTACATGTGGAAGATGTGATGAGACTAATGAATCCATCCATCTATGACCCGGACTAGAGCGTCTCAATTTGCTGGTAGCTATATATAGATGGTTATTTGGTTGGAGCTACCTCTTCGATTGATTAGTTGCTTCATTAACTTCGATTAAGGATCGAGTTAGTTGATAAAACTTATTGTGTATTGATGGAGCTGAACTATTCCCCTTCTGAATGTTCTATTTATTCTATTGTTCTTAATAATACATGCCATGGTTGATTCAGGGGTCTTGGTTAAATGATAGTACCATCCTGTAATCGTGTTTGTTTCCCAATCCCCGGCGGCAAATGTGTTTACCAAGAAAACGATACCGAGAGATGATGGAGGTGAACTATCCCCCTTTTGAATGTTCTGTTTATTCTATTGTTCTTAATAATACATGCCATGGTTGATTCAGGGGTCTTGATTACATGACAGCACCGTCATTTAATCGTGTTTGTTTCCCAATCCCCGATGGCAAATGTGTTTACCAACCAAACTATACCGAGAGATGATGGAGCTGAACTATTCCCCTTTTGAATGTTCTATTTATTCTATTGTTCTTAATTATACATGCCATGGTTGATTCAGGGGTCTTGGTTACATGACAATATCGTCCTGTTATGTGTTTGTATCCCAATTCCCGACGGAAAATGTGTTTACCAAGCAAACTATACCGAAATACTATTTAAAGACTTTGAAGCGCCCAGTCACGGAGCCAAGGTGCATAGTAGTTCCGTCCCATTTCTTGTAGAGGTCACAAGTACAATTTCCGTGCGTGTTTATGCAATGGTTTCAAAATTATAGGAGTCTCGATTTCTCTACCCGTTTGTTAAATGGTTCTAAAAGTAGTGGCCCGGTGGTTCAAACATGCGATCTGTGGTAGTTCCATGTGTTTTCTGCGTGGATGTTGCCGGTTTGATTTCTCTGCCCTTTTTATTTTTTGTTCCAAAAATATAGCAATAACTTTTTTAAGGAATACAGCCATAAGTGGTCGGGATGTTTCGAACGCACAACCTATAGGACAGTAGAGGCCTGTTGGGCGGCCCAGCCTGTAGCGAAGCCCAATATTATTTTGTCATACGGCAAAATTTGATTTCACGCCTAACTTATTTTCTTTTAGACGGAGGGGGCCACACCCATTTAAACTTGCTGTTGTTCCGCCCCTAGTGTTGGAGTATAGAACAATCGAGTGAAGCCGTTTGAGTGCATTAACAAAATGTTCGTGTTTGTGTCGATTTCAAAGTCTAGCTATTTCCATCCGGAAAAAAAGCTAACCGTGTTGAAGATTTTTCTTAAGAAATTTTATGTGCAAACTTCATGCTGTAACAACATTGTATTCTCAGAAATCCTGTTCTTACATACACATTTCACAAGAAATTACATATTGTGAGAGGGATAATAACTGCTTGGAGCTGAACGTGAGACTAAGGGGGTGTTTGTTTTCAGGGACTTTTTTGTGTAGGGACTAGAAAAAGTTCCTCTTAGAGAGTTTTTTACCAAACAGGAGGGACTTTTTAGGGACTAAACTAGGCATTTGGGACTAAATGAAAAAAACTCTCAAGGAGAGTCTTTTTGGGACTTTTCCAACAATGCCCCTCCATGCACCCATTGGCCCGCCACCCCATGGTGTTGTTTGATTGTTATTTTTCTATATACTAGGGGCAACATGGTCATTTAATAATCTTTAGGAAGGGACTAGGGACTTTTTAATCTTTGGAAACAAACATGGGGGACTAGAAAAAGTCCTAAGACTAGAGAACCAAACACCACTTAACTGTCCATGGTTTCTACTAGCGCGTAAGATTTTCATAGAATTGTTACGTAAGAATAGCATTGTTCTTGTATTTTGCTCTGGTAATCAAGCCTTGAGCCTACCGTTTTCTCTGGTTGAATTTGGTTTGTCATAGGTGGGTCCTTCTTAGAGCAAGTATAATAGGATGACATAGACGGCCTATACGACTTTACATATTACTTCCTCTGTCCCATATTATAAAATGTTTTTGTAGTAGAAATTGAATTGCAAAAAATGGCTTATATTATGAAACAGAGGTAGTATATTTTTGTTGAGTTGAAGGAGAGAGAAGAGAATCGGGCAGCCTGTTGTAACATGGGCTGTAATTTTTTTTATAAGTGTAAGGTGGGTCATGTAATAATAAAGTAGTAATTTTTTGTAGCCAACTACTTATATATACTTCCTCTGTCCGGTGAAAAGTGTACATATAGAAATTTTAGGACAAATTATGGAGTGGAGTAAGCAATGCATTGGCAATGTGCAAGCCATCATTTCTCTCCTCTTTAATTATTCAACCCCAATGAGCTAAGTGCATGTAGAAATTAAAAAGACCATGTAAAAAATGTTATTGGTCTTGGTTACCGTATGATGAGAGAAACATTTTTTCCTACTTTAAAGTGCATTTAAAAGATAGAAATATACTTTTTTTGTGGACAAATTTTAAAGCCAAACATATAATGTTCACCGGACGAGCATACAATGTCCATAAGACGGCCGATGCGGGGGTAGTACGTGAATTTTTTTCTTTTTGAATCGGGAGCGTACGTACCTGATTGGTTTAAATGAACCGAGAATCAAGGGGAACCGTTTCTTGTGCGGTCGCGCTGGAATCAAACCGTTTCTTGTGCATGCATGGCTGTCGTCATCGAATCCATTTGCACGAGCGCGAGCATAAAAAGGAACACTAATCAAATCTATACCTCGCGATTAATTGGAGCGTGCGCCTCTCGTACTTCTAGTACATTGTACTATCTCCGTTTAGGTTTACTCCGTATTAGTGCTTGTATTTTAGGTGAAACTTTGACCTTTGATTTAACTAATAAAAAATAAATCAGGACAGTATAAGTTTTGTGACATACAACATATATTTTGTTGGTCAGATCCACAGCCAAAGTTGGGCACAAAATATGAAAGGACCAAAATAAATCAAGACAGAGATAGTCAGTAGTAAAAAATAATTAAACAACGGCATGTCCACCTACTACTACTGATCGCATGCTGACGGTCGGTCGGGGGTTTGGAGAGCTTCGACCCGTTCGCGCTCCTCGCCTGCTCAAGGCCATATCGGCCCATGCTCAACTCACGTACTCTCCGCCTGACACCGACGATTTCACTGGCACTTCAAGCTCCACCTCCCGTGCCACTCTACCGCTTAGCCCGACATGGGCGATCTGGTCATCAAGACAGAGCGGCCGACGCACGCAGCAGCAGATCCAGAGCTCTAGCCTCCAACTACTTCATGCCGGCGACGGCCAATGACAACCATGGCGGCAGTGGCAAAGCTTATGCCAAATCATTGGTGGGGAATGGGCCAAGGAGGGCCGAAATTATGAGGTCTCGGTTGTTTTATCTGGATTCATGGCCCAACTAGAAGTATAGGCACGCCTTGTGGCATCGGTTTTTTTTTTTCATCAGTGAGACATTTACACGTAGCAAAACTGGTGTCCATCATCGGCAGTCTTATTAGATGCGGCAATCTTGAAGCAGTCTTGAGCATCTTAAAGCCGTTCAATATAATATCACGGCAGTCTTGAAGTAATCTTGCTACAGAATTAGGGCGTGAAGCAACGATGAACTGTTCCATATGATGTCATAGCAGTCCTGAGGCTACAGTACTAAACACATTCTTATTCCTTCATTATTTGGGAAAATAAATATACAAGAGAACGTCTTTGTGGTAATTGTTGTTGTATGTCACTCACACGAGATATACTACAGATGAAAGTTTTTATTTGTTGTCTTCAGTTAGCATCCAGTTCCAACTCGCTGCAATGTATATGCATGGTACTGTATCAGGGCATCTTCAATGCTGACCAGTAAACGGACGTCACAAATATTCATTTTCATGTCCTGTTATGGTCCATGGACATAATGCAGAAGGGAGGCATCTAATGTATTCATAAATTAGTCTGGTTGGAAGGAAAGAGAGTAAAGGGGGACTATGCATGTGCTGGGATATTTTGGTATGGTATCCGGTTGGGGGGAGAGAGAGGACATGCGAACCATGCATATGAAGAGAGAGAAATAAGAGGAGGACCACGTGAGGGCTTTTTGTTGGTCAATTGCATGCGTGGACTCCTGCTTAGATCCCCCATAGTTAGTTTCGATTTGCCAAAAAAGGGATGTCCAGGCCACTTCGCGGATAGATAGGGGTTTTTATTGGATGACAAAAGTTGACACAAGTGATCCGAACACCATAATCCAGACGTACACTGGAGCTTTGACGGTCTTCTTTGGACATGCCCTCACATTCGATTATGCTACAACGAACTAATAGTACATGTTAAAAATAATAAATAAACGAGAAATGTTAGCTCACAGATTTGTAGACCTCGGAGTTGCCACCTTTTTTTTGAAAAATACGAAGACTTTATTCATTAGATATAAGAAGTACATCGTTCATGAGGATTATTACAATCTCATCTACAGGTTCCTCAAACCAGACAGAAGTCAAAGAAAATCTAGCTAATTTAGCAAGCTCATGAGCTACTTTATTTGCTTCTCTATTACAACGTTCGAATCTAGTAATACTAAAATCACAAGCGTAATGAAAACAATCGTCGAAGATTGCTGCTGCCGCGCCCGCTGATTGTCCTCCATCCTGCATAGTATAAATTACCTCCAGGTTATCTGAGTTAATAATAAGGAGATTACATCCCGCCCTTTGCGCCAGAGTTAAACCAAACTTGAGAGCAAGAGCTTCCGCCATCAGCACATCTGCGCAGTAATTGTTGACACCTGATTTTGGCAAGATATAGATTGCAATGAAGATGGTCTCGAGTGAACAGGTTTTCAGCATGAAAAGATTCACGTCGCCGAGTGGAACAACTTTGATGTTTCGGTTATATTCATTCGACCTTATCTTACGGACCGAAACTATACTCCGAGTGTCATAATTCAATGTTTCGAGTGGTTTTTGGCCAATCACGTCTTCAAGATGACCTCGGATGAAGGAGCACTCTTATGGAATTGTCTTCGTCTCGTCGAGC